AAGTATGCTAAATATAAGAATTCAACAACGAATAAGAAAACAAAAGAATCAACTAGGACATTGAATTTAACCATCTAGAGAAAATTTCTAGATAATGATAGACCAAAAATAACTATGTAAGAAAGGGTCAGCATCTTAGAGAATATTTATTTAAATAAAGTGCCTTCAAAAATAACTTTAAGATAAAAAGAAATCATAGGTATAACAATATAAAGAGGGTTTTGACTCTCAATTTCAAACTATTGAAAAAGCTAGTCTAAAAGTTTTGAATCTTTTATTTAATAAAGTATGTCTTAAAAAAATTCACTGATTAAGTTCATAGAAAAAATAAATAATAAAAAAATTTGCAAGCAAAAATATTTCATCACAATGTTATATCACTAAAAGCAAACCTCAACTAAATAAAAATATCATAACATTCAAAATGAATATAATTTTGGTAAAATTGCATTTCGTGCTCATTTTAATGTTTTTTAAATTCCCATGAAAATCACCTAATTATGTGGTGAAGATTATACACCTAAACTCTAATCCATCAACAGTTGTCTTCAAGTTGGATAACTCCTACCATTTAGCATTGCATTTTGCTATTATATTCAAAGAGCACTAACAAAATACTAAATAGGTGATATGTACCGAACAAAGTTGAAACCAGAAAAAAAAGATTCCTAATGAATATCCTTGGACTCATTTTGCAACTTACGATAAACAGATGTATATGAAAAGCATAAGCAAAAGAAAAAGAAACAAACCTTCCCAATTGGCTATTGCAGGTTCCAAGCTATAAACCATAGGAATCGGTGCCCCTTCACCCATGTCTCTCCCTAAATAAAAGTGTACTTATCAATAATCTCTACATCTCAAGTTGTTTTAATGGTTATTAACTCACAAAGACCTCAGGTACAACCCAAGCGATCTTTATAGTACCAGCTTTCATTTTTCATAATAACTGTATTAATAAATAACGATAAAATAATTGAATAGTTTTTGGAATAACAATAATCCAACAAGGGTGAAAATAAGGTACACAGAGGCATTATATCGCTCTTAAGCCTTAGCCTTGGCAATAACATAAAAAGAAATATAAAGAATTAAAAAAGAATGAAAAAGAAAAGATTGTATAATGATATGATAATCAATAACTAAACTTCTAGTTTGACCTTTGGTGTTCAGCTAACTCTAGAAGTTATTAAACTCAAAAGATTCTAAAATAATTTGCAGCAAAGCAAGACAAAACAACAATGTCTATTTTAATATAAAACATAAACTATTAAAATATATTCTCTCAAATAATACATGAACTGAAAACATGCCTCAAAAATCCATTAAAAAAAATAAATTTACAATCATAGTAACACTTCTCAAACTATTCATACCCAATAGCCTGAACAACATCATGGGTCAACTTGACAAATAAGGTCTTTAGCGGAACCCCAAAAGCCCCCCCTTAAAAAAAAAAAAAAACCTACTTTGTGAAATCTCAAAACTTAGCGTCACTTTTTTCTCTAGTCTTGATATCTTTTCTAGGCATAGGCCTCCCATCTAACCAAACCATGTGATTGGAATAAGGAATTATAGGCTACAATATAACAATAAAAACAGTTGAAAATAAGTTGCAAAAAAAAAAAAAACAATTTAGGAAGAATTTAAAAAAAAATCATTAAAACAAATACTCCACCCTTTAAACAAAATTCTTTTACCTTCTATTTCTTTCTCATAAAAGCAATGCGAAATTTGACCAATATACAAGACAATAGTATTGTTTTGTTGGGGTTTTGTTTTAAGAAGCTCACATGACGAACCATCTAGCAATGGCTTTATTCATAGATATATGCAACATTCAAAACCAATTTGGGATTACAAAAGCAAGGAAGAAAAAAAATCAGAAAGCAAAAATTGAATACTAATAAAGAAACATACCAAGAAATTAATAAATGTTATTTTAGAATCACAGTTTGAAAATTGAGAAGGTGTTTTCTTTATTGTTTTCTTTGATGCTTTCCTCGTTTTTGCTCCCATCAACTTTCGAATCGCTTTTAGTCTAATTGGCAACCAAAATACAGACAAATATCCTCTGTTACTTTCCTAATTCCCCATTCAAATGGAACTTTTTTTTCAATTTAAACCATTCCAAGTTTTATAGTTTATAAAGTTCTAAACTTTAGACTTCAAACCTATATCAAGTCAAAGAAAAAGTATAAACAAATGAGGGGCAGAAATAAAGTAGTGATGAAAATATTTTCAACACCAAACACACTCAAACGCTTCAAATTTATTTGTCAAAATTTACCCAAACCCTACAAAACTCTATCACAATCTAAACACCTAACTCAATCTCTACCAAATACCTATTATTTGTATAAACAAATGGCTAAGAACAATTATCCTCACGGTAAAGACATCGTAAATCTGAATGAACTTTCCCACAAAATAACATACATGAAAAAAAATCAAACATAAAACTAATAGCTTCCACCAATACATAATCCACAATAACCAACCTAAACAAAAAAAAAACATCATGCACGAAAAAAAATCCAAACATAAAACTCATACCTAAAAAACTCCATGACTATATAAAAAGAACGATCTACATAATGAAAGGGAAATAGAAATAATTAATCTAACAACATGCATGCATAAAAACAATAATATCAAAACACCAACAGAATCATGTTGACAAAAAATAAAACCACCCATAAAAAAAGCAAAAAAAAAAAACCAAGAAACTAAATATAAGAAGAACAGAAGAAACTTACATGAATAAAGAAAATAAAAAAATAACAAAAATGCTAAAAATTATAAAAAAGGGGAAAAAGAAAAGCAAGAAAAACAAAATAAACAAAATAAACAGAAACCAAAGCTTAAAAGCAACTTTCATTGTTAAGTTACGAAGAAAAGAAAAAACTCACTTGGACAAACAAAACAAAGAAAATAGGAAAAACATAGAAAAGAGTAAAAAGAAAAAGAATTGAGAATAAGAGAAGAAATAATGAAACCCATTCAGAAGATTCTAGAATTGTTTTGTTCCAAAATTGTCCATACAAATTTGTTTTTAATACATTGCTTAGCTGTGCACTTAAGGCAAATTGAGGATTGTTTTTATTATTATATATTAACAAAACAAGTCACGTGGCTTTACACCTTATCATTATTTGACTCTTCTTTTTTACTTCTTAACGGTGGGATCTTTAAGTTCCCACTTTCAGCATATCCTTACCGTTAATTTCTACAAAGGTTTTTTTTTTCTATTGGATTCTTGAGTTTCTCATGCCTTTAAATTTTAATTGTCTCTTCTTTTTTTTGAAATAAAAAATTTCCATGTTTGATTAAGAAGAAGATTTTGTCTGTTAATTAACGGTATTATAAAATTTGTTATTGTGATTTTGCATGTATATTTTATCCAAACATGATAAAAAAAACTCAATGTATTTTTCAAATAAAAATAGTATAGATATTAAATTTTAAAAATAGATATAGAAATGAATATGATTTTGAAATAATCATTATATATTAAGACGAAAATAAATAATATAATATCCATCATGTACCTATATATTAAAAAGGTTTATATATTAACAAGATTTTTTTAGGTTTTTAATTAATATGTGTATTATTTGTAGTTCTTGCTTATCTTAACAAATATTAAAATTTTTTTTAAGATCACTTATAATAAAGATTTTTTATACTCATTAAAACTCCATAAGGATGAAAATTAATACAACTTTTAACCCAAAAGAAATACTAGTACAAAGAAGAAATACTTAAAAAAAAATGCTTTATATTTATGCATATTCCTAAAAACGGGAGATAAAATCCATGAAAATTGATTGGTCTTTAAAAAAAAATGGAGTTGTTTTTATAGAGTTATCGACGGACAACTACAACAAATGTGACTTGCTAAGACTAAGGTTGAAATTATTACTAACAATCCAGGGATTCGGAGAGTTATGGCCTAACTAATTTGGAAAACCAAAATTACGTAAACTATTAGTCTGATTACAGAATTAAACAGATTTTTGAACGATCACACATCTGGCCCTTTCAAGTTTTCATCTATAATAAAATTTATATTACATTAATATATTAAATTTTAATATTATAATTTAAATTTGGACAGTCTCACTTCTCAAATAGAGAGTAAAATCTATATTACATTTATAAATGAAAATTCCATGATGGGATGTTTCTCAAAAAAAAAAAAAATCATGATGAGATGACTTTAGGTCATCATTTTTTACAACCCAACCGCTGGTTTGGTGGTTAAACTGTAGTAAGCTTGAGTAGCTCCGTAGTTTGATTCACCACCAAGCATGGCGTCATCATCTCAAATTGATTTTTCATCATCTCTCTCGTATTTCTGGTGAAAAATATATTATATATCTATGTACATGTACAAAATGGTTCTTTGATCAAGATTCTATGTCCTTGGAGTTTGAATTTGCTGTGATTTACCCATTTGAATGAGGGAGGCGCTTCTGCTCAAGAGGAATGCCTCAATTGCCTGAGTAAAAATATTTTTACATATTTTTTAAACAAGACTGGTAAAAGGTAGTTTTAAAGAAATTTTAGCAACCAAATACCCCAGAAAGACAACCTGGGGTTTGATCCACTTTGCGTATTAATTAATTACTAACAGCCACTTAGGATTTTGTGGCACCACATCAATTAATCAATTATTTTTTAAAAAAAATCATAGTTTGAAATTTAAAAAATATAAAAAATTTATAGATATTAAAATTTAAACTTAAGATCTACTAAATATCTTTTAGTAAATATCATCTTTAAAATACACCTATCAATTTAAAATATGACATGATGCAAAAAAATATAATTTAAAATTTTAATAAAAATTATATATAAGATAAAAAATTTTTTTCATATTTTCATGTTTACATAAATTGTGACATGAATTTTAATATAAAACACAATATAAATATATAAATTTTAATATTTTATATAATATAAATACACGAATCACCAAATTTATTTTAAAAATAATTAAGTAAAATAATTAGATTAAACCTCGAATTCAATATTCATTTACCGATAAACTTACAAAGAAACAGTGAATTTTGTCTCGACCAGACAACGTGATCTTATAATATTCTTTAAAGGAAAGGGAAATAAAAGTACTAGTAGTATTTTCTAATCTTAGCTGCCTAATTCTCCTATTGCATGTGCTCACGGCTGACATGCATGTCATTGTCACACAATTGCCTCCAACCAAGGCCTATCAAAACCCACAAAATCCTTATCCGAGGAACAAGGTCCTGTGTAATATGTTGTAGAAGGTTTTAGACAAAGAAGCTTCACCGTCATCAGCCGAGAGGAAGTAGCTAAAGATTCAAGCAGCCATGGCGGCCTTGAGTTGTCAGTTTCATTTCGCTATCCGTGGACTTCCTCGCAATGCCAGAATTAGGCCTTCCTTCTCTTGCTCAGTGCAACCCTCTCAAAGCAATATTAAGGTAAATGGTTCAAGACCTGTCCAAAAATGTCTGGTTAAACAGATGGAATAAAGTTTGGGCAAAAAAAAAAAAAAAAAAACAGAAGGAATAAAGGGGGGATGGGGACAATGATATAATTCATAGTAATAAGAACTTCCTTATTCCCCATGTGGGGAAACAGGTTGTTATAAATGGAGCAGCAAAGGAAATAGGAAGGGCCGCAGTAATTGCTGTGACTAAAGCTAGAGGAATGGAGGTGGCTGGTGCAGTGGATTCCTATTTTGTAGGAGAAGATATAGGAAAGGTCTATCTAAAGTTCTTCATTCCTTTCTTCCTCCATGCATTTTTAGCCCTCAATAGTCTCTTCCCTTCAGAATTCAACCTGAAATAGTTTCATTTTCTAAATTAGGTATGTGATATGGAAGAGCCTCTAGAAATTCCCATAATGAATGATCTCACAATGGTCTTAGGTTCGATATCTCAGGTAACAATCTGATTCTACTATCCTTCTCATTTGGTATAACAAACATTCACCAGCCATACCGTTTTGATCTCCCTGAATTCTAACAGTCAAAAGAGACAGGAGTCGTTGTTGATTTTACTGAGCCTTCAGCAGTTTACGACAATGTCAAACAGGCATGGCATCTAAATTTTATATTATTTTATCAACTTACTTGTATAGACTCGCTGAATGAGCCAGGATAAAACCATCATGTTTGTGTGACCACAGAAACTAATTATTCTAAACGTTGTACTCGAATAACTAAATGATAATAGTTTTTCTCTTCTACTTCCTCATAGGCAACAGCATTTGGTCTGAAAAGTGTGGTTTATGTGCCTCGAATTAAGCTTGACACAGTAACAGCACTATCTGCGTTTTGCGAGAAAGCCAGCATGGTGAGGACATGGTGAGATATTTCAATGTCTACTTATTTCCAAAAGCCTTATAGTACTTTACTTTGCAAAGTTGTGCCTATTATTGTTAGACTGTTAAATCTCCATCAAATAACTTGTTGCACTTAGTTTCTAATGAAATATTTCAGGGTTGCCTAGTTGCACCAACTCTGTCCATAGGATCCATTCTCCTTCAGCAAGCTGCCATTTCAGCTTCCTTCCACTACAATAATGTAGAAATTGTTGAATCAAGGGCACATGCAAAAGTAAGAGACAAGTTATATTAGGGTTTTTATATTTTCTATGGATTTTGTTATAAATGTTGGAGATGCAGTTGTCATGGATGTCATCCAAAGTTAAACGAAATAAATAGGCTTCTATTAAATGTGTGCTAAAATAAAGTATATCTATGTAATTTTGCTTGTATGCTTTGACAACTAAGTCTACATAACTCCAAGACACCGGTACCTTATAGATGATCTGTTGAGGAGGCTAAACTTGTCGTTGATGACAGGATCTTCCTTCACCAGATGCCGTCCAGATTGCCAAAAACCTCTCAAACCTGGGTCAGATCTACAACAGAGAAGACCTTTCAACAGATGTTTTGGTAAGCATAGATACAAAAACAAGATGTTAGAGCAATTCTGGTGTCAAAAATGACTTTCTTTTTTCATCTTTTCTATCTAGGTGGTGACAGTTAGACAGTAGGGAAAAATGTAAAATAGTGTTGAACAGAACAAATGCAGAAAAAACCTTAAGTCTTAGGTATTTATCCTGTCATACATAAGATATAACATTGTGATAACTGCCATATAAAGCTACCAGTAAAGAATAGGAAATTTCATCATATTGATCATCCAATTCTGTACTGACTGGTTTCATACTAGAAAGAACCAGACAAATGGAGATATATTTTCATTTATGAGGAATGATGACAACAAAAAGAATCAACAGAAGCACATATAACGTGAAACTTTAAATCCTATTTTAGAACTCATGATAAGGTGGCTCATTTTTTCAAATTCCCCCTTTGTAAGGCAAGGGGTCAAGTTCTAGGTGAAGATGGGGTGCGTGTTCACAGCATGGTCCTTCCTGGGCTTCCATCTAGCACAACAGTTTACTTCTCTGGCCCAGGAGAGGTATGTTTCCTGAAATAGTCTCTTGTTATTAATTTTATTAAGCAGCACTACCTAGGATAGTTTATTTATTACCACTCTAATCCACAAGTGCTGCCCTGCTGGCCACAGGTTTACACCATCAAACATGATATCACAGGTGTGCAGTGCCTCATGCCAGGCCTAATCTTGGCTATTAGAAAGGTTGTCCGACTCAAGGTAACTGATTGCAAAATACATATCATATCTTTCTTCACGCATTTTGTTCAGTACATCACAAAAGTATATTTACCGATGTTGTCTTTACTATTGTGGCAGCATCTGGTGTATGGCCTGGAGAAATTTCTGTAGACTTCTAGTATTCTTTAAGTTCTTCGGTGTTCTTCGGTGTATAACTCAAATCTTGGTAAATCCAGTGGAGAATCATTTTCATCCTTTTTACAGAAGCAATGCATTTCATTCTTCCGACAGATATATCTAGATATATCTAAAACGAAAGGCTGTGTTAAAATGGAGTGAAAAAAAAAATATCACATTTACTTTTCTTAGAGACAAAATCATTGTAATTTGATCAATACTTAAGGGACTTCAAAATTGAGGCATGAAAGCAGTTTAGTCAAGGTACTATTTATAGATGTCACACCAATTTTGTCATATGCTAACATTCATCATACCCCTTGAAGTCTAAGCACAAGAATAACAACTCAACTTTTGTTTCCCCACCAAGTCATTCTAGCAATTAAACAGCAATTTCAATGTTTGCTTTAGCTGAAATTACCATAATTTAAAGAATGCAATGTCTCTTCATAAATCAGGAACTATAATGCTCTAAAATAGAATGATTCGACATAAAATAATTCAAAATACCCTTCTGTTTTATCTCAGTCTCGTGCCTTCTCCAGCCAAATTTTTTGAGAGATGACTTTTATCTTGTTACAAAACCTCAGAAGAGATATAGAACTGATTTCCTATTCTTAAATTAATTGTTTCTTTCAATTGCTTAAATTAATGAATAGTACGTTTACCTCTGCTTAGAAATAGATGAGTCCCTAAACCATCTTCTCTTAAATTTGAGATTGCACACAGAAACCTATGAACTTCAATCGATGGAACCGTCAATTATGGAGAAACAAAGGATATTAGGTTTCAAGTAAGAAAGTTCCATAGGCACAACAACAATTTATTAACAGTTCCAATACCAAAGAGTAGGCAAATCGAAAAGGATAAATTCCGAGACGGATGGAGAAGGCAAATTACCAGCTGCGTAGCGGTGACGGAATGGGATCCAAGCAAGTGCTTCAGTATGACAAGGGAGCCGAACCCGTACCCGATCCATCTGGGTAAATATGATTCGTCCAATCCAGGTATACTCAGAGGGAATCTAGGAACAGAGAAATTCAGTTGTTGCTGGGAATTGTCCAGCCAGGCCGAGATTGATGCGAATTTGAGAGGGAGAGGGGCGTTTCCACAGAATTGATTGATTTTAGAATTTTCTGTTACCAACTCAAATTATTGGGCAGAAAATGTTTCGCTCGCAACTTCAGGCTGTAATGTATGATTTTTTTTTTCATATATATTTTGAAATTTACTAATATGTATATGTATATATAAATGTGAAATAATTAATGTATACTCATTTTTTTAGATTTTATAAATATAAATAAATTTCACATATTTTTTATAAATTAATATTTCATACACTGACAGTATATCATTTTTATGTATTGTTAGTGAATAATTCAAATTAATGAATACAATTTAAATTTTTCAAGCCTTTAAAAATAAATATTAATAAATTTATTTAAAATTAATTAATGATAATTAAAACTTTACTCTTCTTTTATCACCTTCATCTTCATTTATCGTCTCCATCTCTTGGTTTTTTTTAATTTTTTTTATTACGTAGACTTTCGATCTCAATCAAATTTCATGATTTTAAGGTGATTTTGTTATACTCTACTTCAAAAAATTTTTTTTGTTTGTAATTTTGGACACTGATTTTAGGTATTGGATGCTAAATGACTTTATTTGCTCTCAATTTTACTTTTTTAATTTTAGGGTTCTGTTTATTTGTAGTATTAATTAGAGTATTAGATTTTCTTTGAAAAGATTTGAGTGATCGAATTGCTATGTGATATTGTATTTGATTTGAATATAATTCGATATGGGATCTTTCTTTAATTTTACTTGTCAAATTTCAAATTTTAAGTTTTTAATGTCAAATTGGAACCATTGATCGTGAATATTTAAATGTTCCTATCAGTTACTAAATATGTAAGTAGAGATGAAAATAAGGTTTTGATTTATTTACTGTATATTGGTATTAGTCTTTTAATTGTTGTTTGCTCTGTTTCAATAAATTGTAAAGAAACGATTTTATACATTGTTTTCCTTTAGTTTGGATTTGTTTCATATTATAAAGTTCTTTTACCTTGTATGTGCTTTTAGGATTTAGCTGTTGGAATATCAACAAAGATAAGTCAATAGAAGCAGCTAGTCTATCATTGTGGTGGGTTTGTTTAATTTCTTATAACCACATATTAAATGGAGAATTGTAACAAAAAACAAACAGATAATCTTCAATTTTGTTTTATTTTTTTGACAATACAGTAGTTAGTAATTTTAGAATTCCACTTGATTAATTGTATAAATTTTGACTTTCTTTTTGCTTTTGTATAAAGTTTGAATTTTTTTTTTTTTGTTAAGATGACTACATGAGAAATAAGATGATATGAAAAGATCATGATATATATAATGGTGTGAAATCGAAGGTGATTCAAATTTTTATCTTAATTGATTAATAAGATTTTCAATTTTTATTACAGGTAATGACAACATCTTCTGATAAAGAATTAAATGTTGCTAAAGTTGGTCAAGAATACGATTCTAAATTATTACAAAGTTAGCTGATAAAAATCATGAGTGTTTAGAACCATTTATTGAAATGGAGTTTTAATATTAGGAAGAGGCTTTAGAGTACTATATTAAGTATGCAAAACGTGAAAGATTTGGAATTCATAAGAGCCATATTACAAAATCTCAAAAAGCTCAATTGATTATTAGACTAAAATTTGTTTGTTTAAAGGAAGGTTATCATAACAAAAAGTATCTTGAAAGGGAAGATAGAATTCAAGCACCACTAGATGAGACACGAATGGGATGCAAAGCTATGATTTATGTGTCCAAGAAAGATGATGACAAATGGTTAATTTCTAAATTTATAAGAGATCACACTCACAAGCTTAATACTATAAAAAGTGTTCTATTTTTATGTGTTCACAAAAGAAGAACAAGAGTTTAATGGAATTTAATTAATGTACTTAATGATTCGAGAATTCATTCTAGTAAAATCATGTCAGTTTTAGCTAATGAATCGGGTGGCATTGATATGGTTGGTTTAATTGAGCATGATATTCAAAATTATTTAAGTAATAGAAGGCAAAAATAGCTTGAGAAAGGTGATGCATAATTAGTGCCGACTTATTTCAAAGAATGCCAGTCGAAGAATCCAGGATTCTTTTATGCAATATAAATAGATGCTGAAGGTTAACTAGCAAATTGTTTCTAGGTTGATTCTAGGTCTAAAATGGCATATAAGTATTTTGGTGATGTTGTAGCTTTTGACCCAACTTATTAACAAATAGGTATAAAATGCCTTTTGTTCTCTTCACTAGAGTTAATCCCCATCACCAATCCATTTTATTTGGTTATGCTTTGTTGTGGGATGAGATAGAGGAAACATTTGTTTTGTTATTGAACACTTGGTTGGAAGTAATGTTTGGATATCATCCAAAATTATTACATATTAAGATGTGACTATAACTAATGCAATCGCGAAGGTTTTACCACATACTAAACATCATTTTTGCATGTGGCATATTGAAAAAAAATTTTCTAAGAATCTTAGCCATGTTTACCTCTAATTTGATGATTTCAAGAATCAATTTTTTAAATGCATCCATTATACATTAGTTCCTGATGAGTTTGAATCGGAATGGGCTGAGATAATTGAAAAGTATGGTTTATAAGAAAATAGTTGGTTGAAGAAGTTGTATTTCATTCAAGAAAAATGGATCCCTGCTATGTACAAAACAACTTTTGTGCTTGAATATCTATTATTCAGAGAAGTGAGAGTATGAACAAGTATTTCAAAGATTATGTAAACTCAAGCACTTTGATGAGTAACTTCGTTATTCAGTATGAAAAAGCCCTTGATGCAAGATACAACAAAAATAGGGAGAAAATTTTCAAAACAATGAATTCCAAGCCAATTTTGAAGACATTTTATCCAATAGAGAAAGAAGCTTTAGAGGTTTACACAAGAAAAATATTTAAAAAATTTCAAGATGAGTTAGTTCATTCTCAACAGTATGTTGCAGAAAAAATCCCTGTAAATGAGTAAGTGTACAGTTACAAAGTGCATGAGTTTGACAAAAAAAAGTTTGAATATATTGTGACATTTATTTCCTTATCAGCAATTACAACTTGTTCATGTCACATGTTTGAATTTGTAGGTATCCTTTGCAGACATTAGTTGACAATTTTGATTTAAAAAAATGCACTCATTACCTGATCGATATGTTTTAAATTGGTGGACAAAAGATGCCAAAAAAAGAGAAGTAGAAAGCATCTTGGATAAACAACATGATAATGCTCCTAAAGTCTTCAATGATGTTGTTTAATAGTGTCATGATTCATTCTTTAAAGCTTTTAGAAAAAGCTTTAAGATCTCAAAAACATTATGATGTGGCAATCGAAGGTTTACAATGGTTATTTAAAGAGTTTAATGCCTTGAAAATATCTAGGAGGAAAAAAGTAGTAGCATTGTTGTTTTCACAAGTGAGAATACTCTTAAAGATGTTTCAAAAGATCATGAGACTTATTTTTTAAGTCATAAACTTTGCTTAATCCTCCTCATGTGACTACTAAAGGGCATCCTCAAACTCTAAGAATGAAAAAGGCTTTAAAGCAAAGAAATAATTCAAAAACATGTTCATTCTGTAAACAAAAGGTTCATATAAAGTGCACTTGCCTATTACAAAAATAATCAAGGTATTGTTTGATACTTTTAAATTTGGTATAGTTTACCATATTAGCATTTCTTAATTTTTTTATTTTTATTTTTTTGAAGGTGTGATTCTAGTCAAGAGATGGTGTCAAATCTCAATACTGTTAGAACTTATTGTTCCGTTCAATCAAATGAGGAAATAATAAGTCAATATTTTAATATTTTTAGTTACTTTTTTTATTTTGTTCAAATATGGTATTTAAATTAAATCATTAATATGTAAATTTGCCTTATTAGAACTATGAATCACTTGAAATATCTTTATGTATGTAGGATCTAAGTGCAACTCAAAATTGGTATCAAGGACAAATAAATATGTTTTTAGAGTTTTATGCTACAAATTTCACTGTAAAATAATTTATATTTTATATGATTTATCTCCTAAACATTGATAAAATTTTATAGAAATATCTTATTCATATATTTTTTAAATATTATTTGTGATTATTTTTTATTTAATTTTTTTGTAGGATTTGATAACTACCGTGCAACAATTGCCTATTGGGACAACTAAAAAGGTTTAGGCATGATTGTGATTACAATGGTATTTTTTCATTTCAAAATCATTATTAGTTATTAAGATTGATTGTCAATTTTTTCATTTCTAAATCATTATTGATTATCAAACTTGATTGTCATAGATTCTATGATTTAAAACAAAAAAAAAAATCCAAAGTTTATGGTAAAAAAAAAAAATCCAGAGTTGTTGAAGTTCTCACAAACAACTCTAGGGACAGAGTTGCCTTGTAAACAACTCTCATGATATAATCACGCTCCATGTCATTGCTAAAATTCACTTGAGCAAATCCTAGTAAATTGTAAAGTGCTCTTATAGCCGCAAACCTTACGCCAATGTTTTCTTCTGAAGCACTCATACCCTGAACTACAAATGTAAGTATTTTATTTACTTGATCTTGGTCAATAACGTCAAGGGAGACCTCCTCATACAAGTACCCAAGAGTCTCCAAAGTAGCTTACTTGGCATGAGTTGGTAGCTGATGAACATTTGATAAAAGTGAACTTATCAACTATGGCCAATGTTTCTGTGGTAACTCGATGCTAGCAACCTTGGCAATGTTTTGAGATGTAGTTGACAGAGCATTAGATACTGGAAAAGATAATGTCTTTAATAAGCATGCCTTAATCTGGCTCTTTACATTGGCATCTAAAGATAACCATATTTGAACAAACTCATATTTCCTATGCTATTCATTAGCATTCAATGCATTTTTAAGCATCAAACCAGCTAATTTGCATGTTTTCACATGTTTCTCCTCATTTGCCAACTCACTAGAAAATGAAAGCAACAAACCAAGAAGGTTCTACTTCTAATACTGTTTCAAGCTTTCTTCAGCATTCTTTCGTAAGGCTTCATCTATTAATTGTGCATTCAAAAGCACATATGTAACTTTAATCACCCTAGTATTTTTTAAAACTTCAATAATTAAAATGAATTAGATACATAGATTCAATAGCTAAATATCTTCAGCATCAAAAGAATGACCTTGCACTTCAAGGAGATTGGAACTTTTCTTTTAAGTGGCATACCTGGAGTTTTCCTATTCCTTGTAGTGCACTTTTGTAAACAAGAAGAGAATGGCCTAGTCCTTCCCCATGTTCCTTAAGATAATTGAATCAGTCATATCTCTTTGCATAGTCAACTCATAAAAAGAAATGTATTCTTTGTTAGAATAGACTTCTAATAGCTATGAAATGTACATGCATAAAATCATGCTCGCTATCTAAAATATTAAAATAAAAATAGCATATAGTCTTACTTGCCAACATGAAATAAGCAACTTTATGCTTCAGTAAGATAGATTTTCATTAGCCTTACTAAAATTACCTTTACTGTTTTCAAAATCAATAGGGTTAACTTTATGAGGCATTGTTAATAAGCCAATCTCACCAACCTTAGTTATTTGCTCCAAATTTTGATTACAAAAGATATTACGTTGGCATAATAATGATACTTATAAATTTAAGTTAACATCATACATTAAAACCTTCATCTACTTAAAGTATCCTAAAGATATGTAGCCTTATATATCTTTGTTAAAGTCAATCAATATATTGTTAAAATGGATAATTGCTTAATAAATTTTGCCATATAATCGTATGTCTCAATTTGCAATAAGCAAAACCAAATATATATAATTAGAAGAATATATCAACACTTTGACAAGATTGCATAATTACCATTTTTATTTATTCTAGTTGAAGCACATAAACTCATTACTGATCATATTTCATATGAGGCTAACTAGAAATGTCATTCCTTTAGGCTTCAGCTAGTTGACATATATACTTTTACTATACAATAGCAAGGAGGAGTGCAAGAAACATACTTGAGTAACATAGGGGTTAAACTTTAATCCAAGAAAAGCCATAAACTCTTCTGCAATTTGAGGCCAGTTAATATTAGCTAAATTCAGTATGTTGTAAATATTTTAACACCTAAATCCCAAAAATACATATAAGGTAAAAGAACTTTATAATATTAAACACATTCAAACTAAAGGAAAACAATGTATAAAATCGTTCCTTTACAATTCATTAAAATAGAGCAAACAATATTAAAATACTAATACCAATATGCAGTAAATAAATCAAAATCCTATTTTCATCTTTACTTACATACTTAACAACTGATAGGAACACTTAAATATCCATGAGCAATAGTTCCAATTCGACATTAAAAACTTAAAATTTGAAATTTGACAAGTAAAACTAAAAAATGATCATAAATCAAATTATATTTAAATTAAATACAACATCACATAGCAATTGGATCACTCAAATCTTTCCAAAGAAAATATAATACTCTAATCAATACTACAAATGAACAGAATCCTAAAATTAAAAAAGTGAAAATTGAGAGCAAATAAAATCATTCAATACCCAATAACCAAAATTAGTATCCAAAATTACAAACAAAAATGAAAATTTAGAAGTGGAGTTCAACAAAATTTCCTTAAAATCACGAAATTTGACTAAACTCAAAAGCCTACCTACTAAAAAGAATTTAAAAATAAAAAAAGTCAGGAGGTAGATGAAGAGAGAAGTGATAAAGAAGAGCAAAGTCTTAATTATAATTAATTAACTGTAAATAAATTTATTAATATTTATTTTTATGGGCTTGAAAAATTTTAAATTTTATTCATTAATGAAGTGTTATTGTATTATTTACTAATATTGTATAAAATTAATATATTGTCAGTATATGAAATATTAATCTATTTTTTATTTAGGTTGTTTCTTAATTTTAAATATCTTTTACTGAAATACATATAACTTACTAATATTAATAGTGGAGTTTAATAATTTAATTTTTTTTTTTACTTTGATTTTAATAATAGATGGATATCAACATGATTTAAATAAATTAAATTTGATATTAGTTACATTTTTTACATGCAAGATAATTTTTTGAATATATTAAAATATAAAATTCTTTTGAATTTTATATTTTAATAATAATTAATTATATTATTTTTTTATTTCATATCTTTATAATTTATCAATGTAAAAAATTAATCAAAACAGAACCAAATTTAATGCAAATAAAAATTTATTCAATTAATTTATATAATTTAAAAAATCATCTAATCGATTTATAATTTATATTTTAATAATAACATTTTTGTTATCCTAATAAATATTTTTCTTAAAAATTATGTCAATGAATGTTAGAGATGATAACTGATCAGATCGAATCAGATTTGATTTAGATTTTTTTAATAATATATAATATTATAAAATTTTTAAATTTTACCCAAATTCGAATTAATTTTTTTTTGAAATTGATTCTATCCGAATCGAATTTTACTATATCAATTCTATTCAATTCATCGATTTTTAAATTTTAATTTTTTTAAAAAAATTTATTTATTATTTAAATAAAAATTTTAATATATTTAAGTAAATTTATATAATAAATAATTATTTTATTTTATAAAAATTAAAAAAAAATAAATTAATAAAAATATATAATTCGATTTGATTTGATTTAATCTTTTTATTTTTTTATATCTTGATGTAAAATCTAATCTTAATTTAATATATATATATATATATATTTAATATTCAAATTTAATCTAAATCAAATAAAAATATCAATTTAAACCATATCAAATACTATAATTTCAAATGAATTTTTAATTTTTTTAATTTTTTTACCCCATAATATAATCACGACGTGCTCATGATCAGATGCTGTGACATAAATCTGTGATACTATCTTTGTTGCTCGAACATAAAGCATCTATAATTTTTTTTTTTTTTGGCTATCAAACGAAGAAGTCTATAAATTATTTCATAATAATAAAAATATTTATTCAATGTTTAAACAATTAAAATGGCATCATCAAGCATGCTAAACAAACCCTAATTATTTATTAATCATAAAAATAAAATTGATTATTTTTCTTCACTCTGCCAAAACCCACACGAGGCCTTGTTTGTATTGTGATCTTCCATTACACGTGGCACTGTCAGATCTATCCCTATCCTTAACCCTATGCACTACACGGTAAAATCACGAGCTAACGTCCTGTACACCAAATCTCAAAATACCCACTTTCACTACCCAATCGAATGCGTGCCACGTTAGATTTTCCGTCGGAGTCAGTAAACGTGGAAGGATCTGATTAAGCAAGATCTTTACCCAACGTTAAATTGTAACATATCATTTACCTCGAGACTTATCTGAAATTAAACCGGATAATTTGTATATTTGTATATTTTTATTTATGTTAAATATATATAAATTATAAATTATAAAATATAAAATTATAATTTATATTAATATATTAATATTCTTATTTTTATAAAATTCAAACATAAAATTAACTATAATTTTATGTCATATGCCTTTTTATTTTTTATAATGTAATCGTGTTTTAAATTGTAGATCTATCAAAAATAGCATCATCCTCACGATCCGACCTTTGAGATCAACGAATAAGATCTTGCCACGTCGTTTGCGAGCTCGCGTCGCCACTGCGCTATCTAACACCGACTTCGTAGGGCTATGATTTGGGGACACGTGTCCTTGATTTCTACGGACACTTTCGGTGACATAGGGCAAAATTACCGGTGCAGCCGGTAACTCCCTCTTTGCCATTCCCGCTAGCTATATAAACACCCTCCTTAAAAACTCTCTCTACCAATTTTTTTATCAGTTTACCAAAATAAGTTATAAAAAAAAAAATCAGAAAAGAAGTAACGTTTAGCTTTTGCTTTTCTTTTTCCAGTTCGCGATTTTGAGGTTAGTAGCTTCTCTTCCTTCTTAATTAGTAATTTATTTTCTTTAATTTCTTATTAATCCTTTTTATTAGTAGTTTAATAATTTTGTGCTCGAATCTGCTTTGATCGATCTCTAAAACCAGGGAAATTTACTTTTTTTTTCTCGGAAACTTTGTTTTATTTTGAAGTGATTCCTGCTTGCTAGTTCTTGATCTTCTTGTTTAACTTGCTATAAAGTCCTTAATTAAGGTTATCTGTTGATTCTGTTGGGTTCTTATTTTTCTAATTCGAGTTCGATTACACTATGGGAGTTTCAATGCGTGTGATCAATCTTGGAATGAACTTTGATTAGTAGTTCAGTTCAAGTAGTGGGGTGATTTGATCGCTAATATGTGCTATTAAAGTGCAACAATTTTAGGTTTAGCTAGACATTCTCGGTTTAGTAGGTTGGTTCCAAAATTAGGGTTTCTTTGGTGTGTGTGTGTGTTTGTGTGTGGTGGTGGGGAGGGGGAACAGTTAAAGAAATTTCTTTCTTTAAATTGTGGGGATTAATCTTGGAAATCTCTGGGGGCTTTTTTCACAGTGTTTCCAGTCTTGGTTGATTTATCTGAATGGAATACTGTTTGAAAAGTTGAAACTTTGTTCTCTTGAAGCATGGACAATACGAATTCTAATATTTGTTATCTGCTTTCTCTATTATACATTGTTTATAGATCTCTGCATCAAATTGTTGAGGGCGTATTTATTATTAGAAAGGCCTGGCTCTGGATAGCTATTTAGACTCCAGCCACCAAGGGGCGTTGCCTCCTATGGCACCTTCTGGGGTGGCTGGTGGGTTAACCCAATCTTCCTCAAGTTCTGGAATTTTCTTCCAAGGAGATGGGCAGTCCCAGGCTGTAGTTAACTCTCGCTTGAGCTCACCTTATGAGAACTCATCTAATTCAATTCCTGGAACTGGGCGTCCTAATCTGGGTCCGGTTTCGGGGGACATGAACAGTGCGGTGTTGAACAGTGTGGCAAACTCAGGACCTAGTGTTGGGGCAAGTTCTTTAATCACAGATGCAAATTCGGCATTGTCGGGGGGTCCCCACTTGCAGAGAAGTGCTAGCAATAATACAGATTCATATATGCGCTTACCAGCATCACCCATGTCATTTTCTTCCAACAATATAAGCATGTCAGGTTCATCGGTTGTTGAAGGATCCTCTGTAGGCCAGCAAGGCACTCATCAAGACCCAAATGTACAACAAAGGCAGCAGAGTCAACAGCTGCAGCAAGGGGCCTCAAGTGCTACGTCTTTGCCCACATCACAAACTGGACAAGTTTCACTTCCCTTGGGTCCACGAGTCCCCTTGATGCAAGACCCTAGTAATCCATCCCAGGTGCAGAGGAAACCTCGATTAGATATCAAGCAAGAAGACATTCTGCAGCAGCAGGTGTTGCAACAGCTGCTGCAAAGACAGGATTCCATGCAGTTACAAGGTCGAAACCCTCAGTTACAAGCTTTGATCCAGCAGCAGAGACTTAGGCAACAGCAACAGCAACAGCAACAGTTTTTGCAGTCAATGCCACCATTTCAGAGAGCCCACTTGCAGCAGCAGCAGCAGCAGCAGCAGCAGCAGCAACAACAACAACAACAAATGCAGTTGAGGCAGCATTTGCAACAACAGGGCATGCAGCAAGTAGCTGCAATGAAGCGTCCCTTTGATGGTGGTGTATGTGCTCGTCGGCTAATGCAATACCTGTATCACCAACGGCAAAGGCCACTTGTGAGTTAACTTTTTTATCTACTGCATCTTGTGTCTAAGTCTCTTGTATTTTAATTGGTTTCATGTAATAGTTTCAATCCTATTAAGAACGCTTTTTTTTTTTTGGAAATCTGCTCTACGTTCTTATGTCTGCTCTATTATCTTGTTAATGCAGTCATGAAGTTATCTCATTTTTAACTTAGTGTAGAAATCTACTTTATGCTCTTATGCATGTTCAATAATCATGTTGATACAGTCTTGACAATAACTCATTTTCAACTTACTAATTGCTGAGCTTCAAACTTTTATTGAATCCTGTTATGTCTACTGGATTTTGTAGGAAAATACTATTGCATACTGGAGGAAATTTGTGGCGGAGTATTATTCTCCTCGTGCAAAGAAAAGGTGGTGTTTATCACGATATGATAATGTTGGGAGTCATGCACTTGGTGTTTTCCCTCAAGCAGCTATGGTTAGTCTTTGTGCTTGATCTCTCTAATTTGTAACATGAGAAAATTATCTTTCTATCATGAAGTTTAGGCCTTTCTGTCAGATTGTTTGCATTGCTTTGGTAATTTTGCATGCATTTTTTGTATGAATAATACTATTCATCACTTTGCTTCTTAAATTATATGCTTGTCTTCTATTGTGTAAATTCTTTCTTTCATATAAATTTCAGGATGCTTGGCAGTGTGACATATGCAGGTCTAAGTCTGGAAGGGGGTTTGGTAAGAGATTTATGAGCATTAACTTTGTTTTAGAGTGAATAATTTTTTTAGTTGATTTTTGTAGGAATTACTTTTTATAAATAGGGTATGTGAAAAAGATGTTCCTCAGTCTGTGCTTGTTAGAGAATGCAATTTGCAGTAAAATTTCATTACTTTCTTTTGTTTGATTTTCAGTTTTATCTCCTTAAGACTTCCATGATCATAGAATATCTTTTTTCTCTCTCTATATTGACATACTGGATTGAAGAGGGAAATGCTTTAAATACCAATTGCTTGAAATTAGTATGTACTGTTTCATAGCATTCTCTGTATCCATGGACTCCATTATTAATAACCATAGTTTGTCTCTTTAGTTTTGGAAAATATGCCCTGTGCCTGCAGCTTTGATCTATTTTTTTCTCTTCAAAAGTCACCTATAATTGTTCTTGCATCTTATCACCTGACTGCTTGATTTTGACTAACGAATTACAGAGGCAACTTTTGAAGTACTCCCCAGACTTAATGAAATCAAATTTGGCAGTGGCGTAATGGATGAGCTTCTGTTTCTGGACTTGCCTCATGAGTGTAGATTTCCTTCTGGAATAATGATGTTGGAGTATGGAAAAGCAGTTCAGGAGAGTGTATATGAGCAGCTTAGAGTTGTTCGTGAGGGTCAGCTTCGCATCATATTCACTCAGGACTTAAAGGTTAACAGAAAAGCTGTTTAAAATTTTGCAGTTGTTATTGCTGTAATCTAGGGAATAACCTATTGGGCACTTTCACTTTTACAGATATTGTCTTGGGAGTTTTGTGCGCGTAGACATGAAGAACTTTTTCCTCGTCGTTTAGTTGCACCTCAGGTACTAAAATTTGCACCTTGAACTTCTTATTGATGATTCTTGTTTTAACATACACTCTCATTCCTTTTCTATTTCTTTTGGAGTCAGAGTTTAATTTTATTGCTATAATAAATGTTACCTTGAAATTGGGTTAATTTATATCCCTTAAGATAAATTCTCTTTTCTTTTGGTAGATAACAAGATGGGTGCTTGTGCTAGATATTATTATTGTCTTATGGGACAAACAGTTGTCGTTGAGTTCATAAACGAAGAAGAAAAATTGTATAAGCAAGACAATTGGAAGTTGTTAACAATGGCCAACATCTTTACTCATATAATCTATGAGGGACGTTATTACACCCTTGCCTTGTTTTCTTTGCTTGGGCTTCTTTAGTTGGGTTTGCCTAGCTTTAATTCCAAATTGATGTGGAACAAGTAGGGAAAGAGATAGAAATAAAAATTTGGAGGGAAAATAAAGAAAAAAAATAGACGGAACAATAGGGAGGAATAGAGGAAATCAAGGGAGTAAAAACAGAACTAGGAGAGAAAGCCAAAAAGAATTAATAGAGGGAGAAAATCTCAATAATCAATATCTAAAAATCTCAATATTCATCCTCCAAAACCTAATAGAAGCTAAAATAATGTATGTATTTATAACTAAACCGAGAACCCTAATAAAATGAAAAAATATCAAACATAACCCTAAAATTCTAATACTTGGAAAAGAAATAAAATACAATTAATATAAAATAACCTAAATATATTTAAAGATTAAAATAAAGTCTTCGATTACATAACCCCTCAACTAACATTTTCCATCCTTCATCATAAATGTTGTTGGGTAAACTGGGAAACTGTCTCCTTTAGGGATGAAATACATAGGGCAATCTTTTCATGTAAGTTGTGGAAGGAATCTATTGTTTCAGAAGTGATCGATACCAATTGTTGGCCATGTAAGGGATCTATGAAACAAGAAAGACATATACATTCAGCATGGAGGTACTTAAATTTGTATGAAAGGGAAATGGAGGAGTTTGAAGTTTTTAGCAGTGTGTTTGGTTATCTGAAGGTAAAAGATAGTAGAGTAAATGAGTTGAAAGGTGAGAAGAGCAGAGTTAACAAGTTGTATGGAATGGAGAGGAGAGTAGAGTAGAGTAAAATAGAGAGTTTATGTGCTATTACATTGCATCTTTATTTAATATCATTACTTGAATAGAAAATTCAAGCAAAGTATAGTAAACAAGAAAATTTAAACAAGGTAAGATAAACCCTTTACTCGATTTCACTGTGCCCTCTTTTATTCCTGTTCTGTCCAAAAACACCGTAAATGTGGTTCTGAATCTGTTGATTATGTCGGGGAGAATTGTTTTTGTTGCCCAAAATAGTGTTATCCACTTGACATGCACTTTCATAAGGAGTGACCCAAAAGATGTAAATTGTTTTTGTTGCTTGCATTTTAATCCTTTTAATCTCTAAAATTGCATTCATTTGTTATGTGGAAGAGGTTTTTTTTTTTTAATTATTCTCTCTTTGCTTGAAACACTTTGTAAGCTACATATTGGTTTGCCATTCCCTGATCATATCTTTTTTTTGTTTAAGTTCTTTAAAGTCACCTGATATAACATGAACTTGTAAATCACACAGGTAAACCAGTTACTTCAGGTGGCACAAAAATGCCAGAGCACAATTTCTGAAGGTGGATCTGAGGGGGTTTCTCAGCAGGACTTGCAAACAAACAGCAATATGTGAGTTAATTATAAAAATGTCAAATTCTTTTTTATTCCATTAATTGGTGTTACTTATCCAGTTCTTTGGGTTAGAGCTATTAAGATTTTAAGCTGATAAGTTGCCCCAGGTCACTACTTGAGAAACCTTGGAAGTATGTTTTTCGGATTTTTACCCTCCTTGCTCCTTGAGTGCAATTAAGCCAGAGGGGCACAACGCAAAAAGTGATTTTGCGGGGTCTTGAAATAGTAGTTTTGGTTTTAGCTGAGCTTTTAGTTTTGGAGCTTAGACTGGATATTTTTTAAATTAGTGAAGGTTTTACCGAGTACTTTATTTTTGGTTTGCATGTTACTCAAATCTATTACCTGGTCATTAGGATTTTGCTATTGCAACATTGATTGCTTTCTCTCAGGGTCCTGACAGCTGGACGACAGCTTGTGAAGAGTTTGGAGTTGCAATCGCTGAATGACTTGGGTTTTTCAAAAAGATATGTGAGATGTTTGCAGGTACAGTTTTATCTTTGTGCATTTAAATTCCGGTAAATAAATATTCTTTTTTAAGTTTCCTTAAAGTTTTTGCATAATCTGCTATAGATTGCCGAGGTTGTTAACAGCATGAAGGATCTTATAGATTTTTGTCGAGAACACAAGGTTGGGCCAATTGGTAAGTTGTACCGTTTGCCTTACTGACCTCTGACTGTTTGATAGTTTTTCTTTTGTTCATCACATATGCTGGTCGCAATCATGAAATTGCATTATATTAGGTAACTGCTCTAACTCTGATATTCTTCTCTCATTCTTTTTAAGAAAATAAAATAATTCCAAACTTGTTCTATTTGATTGGCTGGTATTTAGTCAAGACATATTCATGAAGGAGTAAAGCCTTTTTATGTGGCATGAGAATGATCTTCAGTTGCTTCATGCTAGTACTTCATTTTTGTGTTTTAGAAAAATCTTCATCAGCCTAGTAAAGATTGTGGACATTGTCTGTTTACTGTTCCCCCTATTAGGGACAATGTTTGCATGATTTGTTTTTACTGGGAGTTTTTGGATATTCTTTTGTTTTCTTCCCCGATTCTTTCACAATGAACTCCTTGCCCCTTCTGTTTTCATGAGTTTGAAATTTATAATCCTTTGAAAAAAAAAAAAAAAAACTGTTAGAAGGAAATTACTCTCTTATATTTTCAATCTCCATATCTGTGGATTTTTTATCTGCTAAAATTTTGGTGGTTCTTATGCTTGATCCACTTATTGGTTTGGGACTGCAGTTTAGTTTTTGTGAATTGAGAGAAAAACATCATAGCTTTCATACTTACCATCCGTTTGCTTATGACACCATATTTGCAGAGGGCTTAAAAAACTATCCTCGACATGCCAATGCTGCCAAACTCCACATGCAAAAAATGCAGGAAATAGAGCAGCTAGCAAATGTTCAGGGTCTGCCAACTGACAGGAATACCCTCAATAAGCTGATGGCATTGCATCCTGGAATAAATAATCCACTGGGCAACAATCATCATATGGCTGGTCGAGGAACTTTAAGTGGTTCAGCACAAGCTGCTTTGGCACTTACTAACTTCCAGAATCTTCTTATGAGGCAGAATTCAATGAATTCAAACCCTAATTCACTTCATCAGGAAGCTTCATCTTCCTTCAATAATTCTAACCAGAGTCCATCTTCAAATTTCCAAGGGCCTGCTACCTTGTTATCTGCATCCATGCAGACCCTGCCTGTTAGTGGCTTATCAAGTCCCCATTTTCCAGCTCAGCAGGAGCAACTGCTGCAGCATACATCGAGCGCTAATAACTTAATCCAACAGAACCATCCACAGTCCTCTCAGGGTAACCAGGCTTTACAACAACAAATGATCCAACAGTTTCTCCATGAGATGTCTAATAACAATACGGGAGTTCAACAGCAGTCACTGAGTGAGCAGAATGTGAATGGGAGTGTGGGAAGAAATGGAGTTGGCCTTGGAAACAACAACACTGCTCCGGCTGCAGCTACCTCTAATGTGTCAGGAAGTGTTGCAGGGCCTGCATCGAGTCGAAGCAACAGTTTTAAAGTTGCTTCAAACAGTGACACTGCGGCAGCTGGTGACAACAATGGATTCAACCAGAGAGCACCTGATTTACCTCAGAATCTCCATCTGCAGGATGATATAGTTCCGGATATAGCTCATGAGTTTGCGGAAAATGGGTTCTTTAACAGTGACCTTGACGATAATATGGGTTATGTCTGGAAGGCATGACTAATATACTTTGGCCCGATTAATAGCTTCTGTTGGGTGAGCATTGGGCAAATCGTTGTACAGTATGTTTGAAAGAGCTGCCCTTTTTCTTCTCTATTTTTTTCCTTTCTTTGTAGCCCTCTCTAATTTTGCATTGTTGTGACATCACTTTCTTTGTGCTTCAGTAGGTATTTAGTTATCCTTTTTCCTTTATTTTATTTTTTTTAAGGTCTTCTCGTTTTCAAGTCTTGCAAGTGTAATCTATTGGACGAACTTGAGAACAGATTCAGTCTCTTACTAATATGATATTTACATGTTTCACTGGCCACTTTTATGATTAAAATTAGTGATCTTAGCCAGCTAGAAGGTGTAAAAACCAGAGCAAAACAAGCATCTTATTGTTGGACTTTGCGGAACAAATGCCAGATGCATTTCTATTGCCATGATTTTGACCAATAATGTAAATGTGAGGCACTAATTTAGATTGCAAACCATTTCAGCAAAATATTGTGATGGGAGGCAAAAAAATCCAGAGGCAGCTTGCTACAAATCAATAGGTTCTAGACCAACTTGTTTATCCTCCGTGGTTGACTAAAAGCGTTACTGTCTACCACGCTAAAGTCCAAATTAAAATACTCATTAAATTTGACACTAAAGTAGATTCAAAGCTGACATTTTGCTCCATGGCTCAATTACATCGCTTAGGCAACAAAATGACAAATAGAACTGGAAATTCACTCAGTGAAGTGTGAACCGACTACATCAGACATAGGCTAGTGTGTAACTTTGATACAAATATCCAGTCAGTTTCTGCTGCACTATCTTCTTATTTGGAGGAACAAAATCTGATGTCAGGTCAACAGAAATTGAGAACCATTCTGCCACATTGTGGGAGGAAAAAGAGGAAACAGTAACTGTCATGAACTATTTTCAGGGTACAGCAGAGGGCCGGTCATCAGCATCTTTAGTACCAGCTGCCCCAGCCCGACGTAGTGGATTTACTATCATTTGTTCCCAACCTCTTGTGCCTCTCTGTATTAATCTTCTAGTGAATTTACGGAAAACGGGAAGATGCACCATTATCCCCTTCAGGTGACCCTGTGGAATGCATGCAATTTTCTGTTTCAGGCATGTATTTCAAAGCACACCTCCCTGTGGCATCAAGTATCTCTATATCGAATCTTGGTGAAAGTGGCCGCCCAACAATTTGAACATGGGATATACTGCACAAGGTCAATCAATTTTACATATTCAGAAATACATATTCTAACTTGATTATGTCTAAAACAAATCAGGATTTTCAATTTACATTTCAATGAAGAAAAGCAGTGATATCCTGGGTCTTGATTGATAGTTAATTCAGGGCAGTTTCTAAAATTGGCCATGCTTCAATTAAAATGTAAAAGTACAGCTTAAAAAAATTTCTTCATTGAAAGAAGTACGAATCAATATGCGCCTTTTCAGCTAACTTAACATACTGACAAAAAAATGAAGCTACCAATTTGTTATTCTGATGCCTTAGCTAGCAGTTTCTAGCATGTTAATGATTGGGAAAAACCTTGGTCATGTCTCTGGACTCTACCCTATATAATATAATGTTAAAGAGAGAGATACCATATATAATATAAACCATCCATTTCTTGTCTCTGGAATCTACCCAGCAACTCAACTTGCAAGAATCCTCCAATGCAAAGAACAGGCTCTGGTAGCTTGAATTTTTGCAAGCAGTTTTCCTGTCGATAAGTTATTAGAGCTGTTTATTTGAACTTTAAAGAGATAAAGAAAAATAAAAATTCCATATAATTCTCAGCAATGGAGGTGCTACCTTGTATTATAGCCAAATCATTTCATCCAAGAGAGAGAGAGAGAGAGAGAGAGAGAAATAGGGGGAATAAACAGGAAAAAGAGAAATAAAAAAAAAAAAAAAAGCTTGATCATTGTATCCTAATGAGTCCAAAAACAGAAGATAATGCCCCTTGAATTTCCTTTCCCCAACTGAACATCAAATGAAAGCCAATTGTAGCTGGTTGACACTAAGCTCACCTGAGCCATTGGAAATTCTAGTGAAATATACGTCCATATAAACTTGTTTTCTGCCAATCCATGACTAGACGTTGAACTATCTGTCGTGTCACTCTGCAACTCCTCAAGTAACCTTGGATGACCCACTCTAAATCTGACAGCCTTAGGTGCATATATAGGGAACCAAACTGAAAATAAGCTGATATGCAAACATAATTCTGTCAGTTATAAAAGTTTCACTATAGGCAAGGGGAATACACAGGATATGAGTACAGACAAGTAGAATTAAACCTTGGAATGGCCGAACATGGATTTCTGTAACAAGACACATCTTGGCCTTCAGCTTATAAATTAAAGTCTCAGCGACAGCAGGATCATTTTGCCCTTGACTTGACCAGTATGATGCTGTATTTTCTATGTTATCTTGTGGCTCCAAAGTATTATGGATGCTTTCTTCAGGGTAATTATCCGTGCTGGATGCACTAATGGCCTCTGATATGCAATCTTTTCTTGTGAAAGGACTAAGGGCACGAGCCAAAAAGGCATAGACTCTATGATTCCTCCTTAGATATTCCAACTCGAAATGATCATGCTGTTTATGTTTTACAGGATATATCAAATTATTCACCTCAATGGTGTGAGCAACACCAGAAATTTAAGGTAACAATTTCATGCAAAGCTGCTTACAAAGACCGTTCGCAATCACTGCATGAAAAATAAAAATTATCATATCAATACTGTTAAAGAAAAGCACATAGTGGTATGAACCACGCACACTTAGCCAAGCTTAAAATGAAGTTGTAAATATACTGCATCAAACTAACGTCAAAAATTGCACATAATTAATCCTACTTTGGAAGTTTAACTCAATCAAGGCATGGTTATGATGCACTTAAAGCTGAAATATACAGCCAAAGTTACCAGCCGTGACAAGATAGGCTAACAACAGTTTAATGGGAAATAAAAAAAGGGAAAACTGAGCATGAACCCAATAATAGTTACAGCACGATTTCATTACCAAATTGGCGCCAAGAACTGGAAACCAAGCAAACCCTGACGAGATCAGCAGGGTTATCCAGAAGCAAGAAAATCTTCATAGACATGTCAGGTCCAAGCAATTGTATAAAATTGCCACAATTATCCATTTTGGATCCTTTATTTATAGATCTAAAACTTTGAAGCTTCAGCAATACTGCATAACAACAAAAGACCACCCATAAAGTGTAAAAAACTGCTTAGGCAATGATTAGAAAGATTCAATTACCAAGCATGGAATGGACAATCGTTCTTCTGGGTTTTCATTGAGATCAATCATGGCAAATTCGTTACCCTATCTGAAACAGAGTGAAAACCAATCACAGGCAAGATAAAACAGAACATTACAGGAAATAGCCACCCATGATATCTTCCAAGATCGTTAAAGGAGACCGACTTGAGGCAAAGAAAATGAAAGGAATCATTAGCTTATGCAAGCATATATATATCAGATGTAATGATGTAAACTCTAACTCAAAAGTGTACAGAAAGGAGATGAAAGGAAAAGTACCCTTTTTTGCAGAGAGAGAGAGAAGCGATCGATCCAAAGCAAAGCTAAAAGGAAAAGAGAAACATCAAAGACAGAAAATGAAGCGTTTTTCCACCACCATTGCTGTTAAGATTTTAACATCCGCGAAGACAGAGCGAGAAGACCACAGACTGGACTTGAATTTGAATTGGAAGTACCGAAAGCCCAACAAATAATAATATTCTGGACCTGCCACTGCCTTGAAAGACTTGTCCTGATGATATTTTTGGAATACAAAATCTTTTTTATCTCCGATTTTTCTGGGGTTTTTTAATTTTTCATGAAGATATTCCTTTTTTGCCTCTGTATTATACTAGATTTTTGCCCCTGGCTGATAACTTTTTGTCAAATTTTATTTTAATATATTTATCGCTATTTTTTATAAAAAAATATACTTATTATTTATGTTAAAGTAATAAATATATTTTATATAGTAATTTCATTGGAGATTACTTTTATGGTATTGATTTATAGTAATTTAATATGTAATTTAATAGGCTGTTATAGTAATTTTTATAAAATACTACATATAAATTTTTCATGAAACAATGATAATAATATTTTCATATTTTCATATATAGTTAAATTTATATCTTATTAAAATTTAATATATAATTTAATATGAATATTATAATAATTATAATTAATTATGATAAAAGAAGCATTCTCGCAATTATGGTAAGAAAAACATTATAGTAATAATGATTAATCATAATAGAAGGTCATTTTCATAATAATTATAGAATGAAGTATTATAATAATTTTGATTAATTATGTTATGAGGTTTATTTTTACAATTATAATAAGAAAATATTATAATAATTTTGATTAATTATAAAAAAAATATTATAGTAAATTTAGATACGTGTCAATTACTAATCAATTAATTAGAAAAACATTATAATAAATTTCTAATGAGATTACTTTAATATATTATATAGATTTATTTTATTATAGTAATTTAATATGTAATTAAATTTTATATAATTTTCATAAAAGCAACTGCATTTAATAATTTAGTATATAATTAATTTTATTTTATGACAAAATTTAATAAACAATTTAATAAGGATATTATAAGAAACTTCAAACAGAATGCCACATGTCATTATGTAATTACAATAGGTGAGCCATTATAGTAATTTTGATAAATTAAGATAGGAAGGCATTTTCATAATTATGATAAAAAATATTATAATAATTTTAACTGATTATGGGATTAAGGATGTTATTGTACTTTTAGATATGTGTCAAACAATTATCAAACAACTAGAGGGTTGAATAGTAATTTTGAAAGGAATTACTTTTAATTATATTTGCTCAATTACGGTAAAGAAAGTATTTTTTGAAATTATGATAAAAAAATATTATTATAATTTTGATTAATTATAATAAGAAAAGTATATAATAATTTTAGTCGATCATAGAGCCAGGGTATTATTATGCTTTTCGATACATGTCAAATAATGATCAAGTAATTCTTAGGATAATATAGTAATTTTTAAGGAATTATTTTAATAATAATAATAATAATAATATAGATGAAAGGGTTAAAAATTGATTGTTGCATTATAGGTATGATACAAGGCTATTATTGCTCTTGAAATTAAAAAAAAAAAATGTGATACTATGTGACAAATGATAATAAAGAATGGAATTTGCTTCCTTCCCCACCATAAATACCTACATAGTAATATTCATATGTTGAAACATATAGTAGCAAGTATCGATATGTATATTGCAAATAATCTCCTAGAAAATGACCAAATTACCCTTTTATGGTTTATAAGAATTTGACATTTAACTAAATTGACTATTATACTCTTATATTATAATTATAAAAATATCCCTACTTTTTATAATTATTTACCGTATTATCTCATATTATAATTACAAAATACTCCTCTTAAATTAACTATTATGTCTTCATACCATAATTATAAAAATACTCATTCTTTAATAATTATTTATTATAAAACCTTATACCATAATTATGAAAATACTCATTTCTTATTATTGACTAAAATTACTATAATATCCTCTTATCATAATTACAAAAATATATTTTTCTCATAATTGATCAAAATTACTATAATACCCATTTTATCATAATTATAAAAATACCCTTATGAATGTTTAATAGGAAGTTGATATGTGGCACTTTGTTTCAAAATCAACATATATTAAAATAATTCCTTTGATAATTTTTATAATAATCCTTTATTTATTTGATATGATGTCGATAAATTTATTACAATGTTTTTCTGTCATAATTATGAAAATACTTTTTTTCTTATAATTAGTTAAAATTATTATAATATCTTTCTATTGTAATTAAAGAAATACTCCTTTTAATATTATTGATTAAAATTACTACTACAATGCCCTCCTATTAGAATTATGAAAATACTATTACCATAATTGATCAAAATTACTATAATGTCTCTTATATTATAATTGCGAAAATACTTTTATGAATACTTCATAGGAGGATGATATGTGATATTTTATTTCAAATTTATTATAATACCTCTATTAAATTATATATTAAATTTTATCATAATATAAAATTAATCACATATTAAATTATTAAAATATCATTATAATTGTTTTATAAAAATTTGACATGTGATATTTTATTTAAAAATTATTATAATACCCCTATTAAATTATATATGAAATTTTAACATAATATAAAACTAACTACATAGTAAATTAGTAAAATACCCTTGCCATTACTTCATAAAAATTTGACAAGTGAAATTTTGTTTGAAATTTACTATAATCTCCTATTAAATTACTTATTAAATGTTAAATAACATATATTAAAATAATTTTTCATAGAAATTACTATAACACCCCTTTGTTTATTTAATATGATTTTGATATGTATCTAAATTTAATATAATACTTTTTTACCATAATTACAAAAATATCTCTCTTCTCATAATTAGCCAAAATTATTATAATACCCTTCTATCATAATTATAAAAATGTCCTTCTAACTATGATTGATCAAAATTACTATAATACAATATTACTATAATTACAAAAGTACCCTTTTTATCATATTTGGTCAAAATTATTATAATACTTCGATATCATACTTACAAAAATATTCTTGATACTATAATTGAATAAAATTACTATAATACCTTTTATATTATGATTATTTAAATGTTCATTTGAGTGTTTCATAAGAAGTTGATATATAATATTTTATTTTAAAATTATTAAAATGCTCTTATTAAATTACGTATTAAATTTTAATATATTATAAAATTAATTACATATTAAATTACTAAAATTCTTTTACCATTGCTTTATAAAATTTGACATGATATTTTATTAAAAATAATTAAAACAAAATCATTAAGTGAGATAAATAATTATAATTTTATTAAAATAAAAAATTAAATAATTTGTATTTCAAAATAAAAAAATTTAATCCTAACATAGTGGAGACCGCATACTAGTACTAAATGAAAGAAACTTTCCACCAGAAAATAATGAAAGACAAAAGTCAGTCATCCTCAAGATCATGATGGTTAGACTAGAAAAAGCATATAATGTTTGATGTTTCTTTCAGCAAATTTACTCTTGCAGCTCGAATGAATAGCCACAGCTGTAAGTCAAGCCCATCCAATCCATTGGTGGGGTCAGGCCTTCATTCTCTAGATAAGAATGCCAAAGTGGCCAATTGTTCCTGACCACTAACAATGACACTGACCCAATGGGTCCAGTTCAAATCCAATCCCCTATAGTTATCCCAGGAAAACAATTCACATTTGTACAACCGAACAAACAAGTATTTGGATCCTTCTTTTTACCTTGAGAATTTGATTTATTTTATTTTTGTCATGTTATAAACAGGTTCAATTTTACGATGTGGGATTTAATAAAACAGACCATTCAATTTAAAGACGTAACAACATTCACTCAACAAAAGAGCCAAAAAAAAAAAAAAGACATTGTAGCATCCAATAAGAGAGCTTATATTTTCAACGAACAAGATTTAACCCACCAAACACAATTATTCTCAAATTTACTGTACAAAGAGAGTAAAACAAAAGATCATCGAGTTAAAAGGACATTTTAAAACAAAAAAACGAGCAAATTATAAGTTTGTGGACAAAAAAAAAAAAAAAAAAAGCAAGACACATTCTGTTTGAACTGCCCCATTTTCATACAACATATATTCAATTAGCTAGTATCATCTGCAAGCCTACTAGATAACAACCTAAAACTTGATTACTTCAATCTCTGCCTAAATTCACTGGGGTATGTCAACACAGAATCTACGGAAAGACCTCCTTTTGTATGTGTACAGTCGATCTGCATCATTGAAAATTTGATTTTTGTTGGGGAATTTGAATTCTCAATCACAAAATCACCCACATGATAATGAACCCATTTCCCTGGCTCATACAGGTAACATTCTGATGAGGCTTGCTGGCCATTGGATGTTGAAAGTTGAAATCGGACGGGCTTGATATTCCAGCCATGAACCTGGTCAAGGTTACAGACGCGTCGGCCAAATCTTTTTGAGGCTTTGCCTAGCTGCAGCCTGAAGAATAGACTATAGGTTCCAGGAGGAAATTCAAACTCTAATTCTCCAACCACTTCAAACCACCAAATTTGTTGTAGATATGCCACTGTATCGAACCTACACGTCGAAAGAAAATTGTTATTGCATTGTTTTTTTTTTTTTTTTTATACAAAATAGATTAAAAAAATCATAAATATTGAAATTTATCTCTTAAAAATTAACTAAATAAAAGTTAAAGCTTTGGATTCATTGTCCCGTTTTTCATACGTTGAATTTCATGGAGTAAAAAGCTAGTGCTAAAGTTGACAATATTGGCAGTGAATATATTTCCCAGGTTGGGGGCTCTTTTGCTTCTAAAACAAGACAATGTAAATTGTACACGCTTCTAGGGATTAATAAAAGAATTATATTTGATGCGTTATCATTTATATATTATCGATAAATAAAATGATATTATCTCATTAATAAAATTAATAAAATGATATCATTTCAATAATAAATAAATTTTTAAAAAATATTAATTTTTGTATATTTATTTTAAATATTAATAATTATTCATTAATAATATAATATTATTTAATTTACTTAAAATATATAAAATTGGTGCATCAAATATAAACTTTTAATAAAATGTATCCCTAATAATTTTCATTAGGCAAGGCATCTACTCTGGAAAAAAAATAATGACAAATTGAATACTTAAAAAACAAGGCAAGTAATCGCATATAAATGGAATAAAAATCTTTCTCAGCATATATCTTCTAAGCCATCCAATTTGGTTTAGTCTTTTCCAGCCATAGACTCTCAACTGCAAGTTGTAAGTGCTTTCACATGAGGAAAAGGTTATCGGAAAATCTAGATGGCTAGTTGCATCACATCCAGAAACAAAGATTTTTTCTAGCTAAAATGGCAGGGCAAAATATATAGCAGCGGCCCCTTGACGACAACATATTCCAATTATATCAATGTTTCAATTGCGCTGATATGTCATTTTCCATGGAGAAAAAAGGAAAAGAAAAGAATCATATAACCACTACAAAAGGAAAAAGGAGAAACGTCAATGTATTATTTACCTGGATTCTTCGGTTGGAATGTGATTCCAATACCTCCGATCATCTATCCCTGTTATTTTCAGTGCGTTGGCGGATATTGACAAGCAAAGCTTACCGCTACTTTTATCCAACCACACTTCCTACAGTTGAGATTGGAAACAGAAAAATAAGAAATAACAATTGAAATCATAGTGGGATTAATTAGAATATACATATATATATATATATATATATAATAGTAGTCAAGAATCAAATCTCAAAATCCTTTGTATGCCTAATTATATCAAATCTCAAAGTTTGTGATCAGAATTCAACTGAAAACTAGTCTTTTTTTTTCTTCTTTTTGATTGGTGGTTGATGAACTTGCAAATAAGAGAAAGAAAGCTACCTTGGTGCCACCATCAAAACGATTGGGTCTGCACAGTCTAGCATAAGTCTCTTTCTTGCTCAAAGACTCTGGACTTTGACCAAGAACTTTCAGAACCAGATACCTGTAGTTTGGTGGCAGCTTTGTTTCCCATACAAAATCAGCCAAAGAGGCTCCACGAAAAACCCTGTTCAAGCTCGCTAATTTGCATATCTCTGGTGGATCCAAGTACATAAAAATTGAGGATATACAACTTTCTGGCACGTCATCAAGACCAGGTTTCAATGGAAAACCCCTTTGCGCATCTGCTCCAAGACCAGAAACACCAGCCCCCATTAAAAAAAAGACAGAAAATTCAAGAAAAATAAAGCAAGATTTGATTTGTTTCAAGAAAGGGTTTAAAGGTAAAGGAGAAGATGGTAAATGATGTAGGAAACAGGGGGACAAATCGAAGAAGATGTCACCATTTTCTTCATTTTCAAGGAAGAGAGAAGGGCGTTTCTTTCTTGGGCTTTCAACAAAAGGATGGAGTCTTTGTTCTTTCAGAAAAGAGATAAAGTGACTAATAATAGTAAATATTCTTCCACTTGACAAAGGGAAAAGGGGATGTAATATAAGTGTGCATGGAATACATTTTGTCTTTGGTTTGGAATAATAGCATGTACATATACGTTTTCCGTACGCCAATTTTTGTGGCTTCAGGAAAAAACTAGCGGATCCATAGAAATGCAATAGCTAAATTGGTTCAGACCTTGGAATAATTAGACCTATTAATTATTAATTCTAAACACGACATAATAAGATAATATAAAAATAATATAATTTAAAATTTTAATAAAAATATATATTTTTTATTTTTAATTGTCAATATAGATTGAATATAATAATTTTTATGTTTTATATATTTTTAACATGAAAAGAACATAATATAAATATACAAATTATTAATTATTAAAATAATTAACATTTTGTTTTTGCGCTTTTAGGTTGATTTTTTTTTTCTATTCTTTTGCAATGGGAACCAAGACAATTATTGAAGTTGTTTTGGTAGTTTATACTTGCAACTAGAATTTGTTCATGACATCAGTGTATAATTTTAATTAAATTGTAGTGTATTTTATTTTGGAGATAAGTCAAGCACAGGAAATTTTAACATTCATTTAATTAATTTACAGATAAAAAATAAGACGATATCATTATGTCTCAAATCGAAACTTAAACTCTAAGCTCGTGTGATTTCAAGATTAAAAAATATACTCATTCGTATCTTATATCAATCTAATATAAAAAATGGTGCATAAACATTTTAGATTGCAAGGCTTGCCGTTCAGTACGTTGCAAAATCGAAAGAGCACAATAAATATTTAAAGAAGGGCCAACAAAAGAATTATACAAGCTAAATTGATGTCAAATTAAGCAACAAAATACATAACCAAAATCTATAGTTAAACTCTCGATTTTTTAATAAAATTATTAATATCAATAGAGAATATATTATAATTATAATCAAATATTACATCTTATATAATAGATTATTAAATTAAATTAACAGTCAAATCAACAAATCAAGAAACATACAATAATTGAAAAAATTCAACACAAAATTACCTTAAACATATGAGATTTAAATATAAAATCTGTTTTTTTTTTTTTTTATAAATAATCTTAAAGTTGCACTTCTTCACATTAATATGTTGCCTTTATAATTTTATCTTCAAAATATTTTTCATAAAAATTAAAATCAAATTAATTAAAAAAAAAACTTCTTTGACCAATTGAACTAAATTTTTATGAATATTAACATTAGATTTGACGATTCGTATATTCATGTTGTATAAAATATTAAAAATTATATTTTTATATAATATTTTATATAAAAATTATATATTATAATTCGTGTTAATATGAAAATATTAAATATATTTTTTAATTTTATTAAACTTATATATAATTTTTGATAAAATTTTAAATCATATCACATTCATATTTTTTTTATTATATTCATATTATATCATTATATATTTTAAATTTTTAAGACCAATTAAAATGTCTTCTTTACCGTCAAAGCAAGATCTCATTAACGGCTAAAGTAATACTCGTTAAAAAAACGCAATATATATAGGGATAACGTGGGTGCGTTTCATTTCTTGCCAATGCCTGGCAAGGGGCATTGGCCGGTGACTTCGGCAGGTAGGTAATCTTTCAGCAACTGATGATACCCTCCTTGTCATTAAAGTCCAAAAACTCATAAAAAAGGCTCACCTAACAAGATTTAGTTATTATAATATTTTAATTCCTTTTGAACACGAAATTATTAAACCACCACAAAATTAGTCATTAGGCCTGGTTGTGCACATGCACCAATATTTAAATAATCCCAAGTTTTTCTCACATGGTTCTTTTAATAATAATCAAGATTAAAAAAAAAAAAAATCAAATAATGGATTCAACTGCGAGCTTGTCATTGGTCATTCCCTCTTCTCATCAGATTATTCAATTCATGGTTGATGTTCATTCAATTCCAAATATAGTGTAGTCCCCAATAATTCACAAATTAAGTTTCACATAAAACACATAATAATTGTTGTCCACATGATTCATGATCAGGAACAGTAATGTCACACCGAATCTTGACGTGGTGCTGCGTCAGCAAGACAACTAAGAGCCACAAATCTCGTTCACATGAGACCTGATCACAGGTATGGGAGATCGATCATGTTCTGTGTATGAGATCGAAGAAGACGAAAATTTTTCCCCCAATTTGTACTTTTTGTTTGGCAACAAATGAAGCACCCCTGCTAAGTTCCTTATTATTTTTTTTTTCATAAAAAGAAATGGAATTGCTTCCTGAATTAAGCTCACAATTGCGGGTGCCAATTATATGTGTAATCAACCTATTTGTATTTGCCGGCGATGGAAATTGATTCAAGCTTCAGCTAGAAGCATTAAAGAACAATACTATCAGCAATTTGAAAGGAAAATATTCATCTGGAACTGATTCTTCTTCACAGGCTTGGTGGTTGAAATCTAGCATAGTTGCATATATGATGATTCTATTCTTCTACTACTACTCACTGGCTTTATGTCACGGACTAAGCTTTCTCTCAATAAGCAATAGATCGTGCGACACTTGAATGGGCGCTCCTAATCAAGTCAGCTTTCAATAGATCGATATCTGAACAAATAACCATAAATCATGGTTAGTCACAAGCATTCACAATAAGGCACAACATATCAAGATCAATCTCAAGCACACACACAAGAAGGCATATTCGCATCGAGAAAAAGAAAAATGCATCGAGACAATAATCGAGACATTCAATCGGGATGAGTTTTATTATAAATGGGAATCATACATCGGGACCTCCCACCGTCACCAGGGCAAGGCGACAGCCCTTGGTGGGTGGCCTAAGCTCGCATAGCAACCGGTGAGACAGTCCAACACTACGCTGCCGGCTCACCCCTCTAAAGAGCCTTAGAGATTTTAGAGCTATGCTACCAGTAACCATTACAATGTTTGAAATGGGGACACTTTTCCTAGCACAAGGGATCTACTCGGCCATGGCCCTATACATGGGTGGCTCATGGCAACCTAAGTCCCGATCATGGCCCTATACAAGGTTGGCTCATGACATCCTCCCCCCACCTATTCTATCGACGTCCTCGTCGACTTGCTGGCTTGAAATTCTTTAATCTTCCTCTGAAATCTCTAGAGGTCATGTTCTCTCTCCCAGCTGGTTTCTTCTAGTCCTAATCCTTCCCACTTCACTAAGTACTCCCGAACTAGTCTTCGAGATATCTTGGTTTCCCTATCAGCTAAGATCTCTTCAACTCGATGCTCTGAGGGTGGCTTCATGGTGATGGCGGCTCTAGTTGGCTCCCTTCAGCTAGCATCTGTAGGATCTGCATGGAAAGGTTTCAAGTTGCTCACATGGAATACTGGGTGCACCTTCATCCACTTTGGTGGGTCAATTTTGTAAGAAGCATTCCCCACCTTGGAAAGGACCCTTACTGGACCTTCATATTTACGCACCAGTCTACGATCTCTCTTTCTCAGGAACTTGATTTGTTCAGGAACTAGTCGGACAAGAACCAAATCACCAACTTGAAATTGTTGAGCTCTACGACCCTTGTCTGCCCATTTCTTCATCCATTTTGATGCTTTCTCCGGGTAGGCTTGCGTAATCTCTGTGTTTCGTTTCCACTCTTCGCTGAGATTGAAGGCTCTCGGATTCTTTCCTCCATATTGTTCCAAGGAAGTGTGGGGTAGCCTTAGTAATTGTCCAGTGACCACCTCAAATGGGCTCTTGTTGGTGGAAGAGCTTTTATTGGAATTAAAGCAGAGTTGAGCAACGTCCAATAATGAAAGCCAGTCTTTCTGATTGGCTTGAACAAAATGCCTCAAGTATTCCTCTAATAATCCGTTGAACCGTTCCGTTTGACCATCGGTTTGAGGGTGATAGCTTGAGGAGATGTTGAGTTGGGACCCCAATATCTTGAAAAGTTCTCTCTAGAATGATCCCGTGAATCTCGGATCTCGATCGCTGACAATATTTTGAGGGAGGCCTCAGTATTTGACCACATGTTTGAACAATAGTCGAGCTGTGTCTTTCGCAGTGCAATACTTATGAGCGAAAATGAATGTGGCATACTTAAAGAACCGATCAATTATCACCAAAATAGCTCCAAGGTCACCAACCTTGGGTAGGCTCGAAATGAAATCGAGGGAGATGCTTTCCTATGGTTTGGTGGGTACTGGTAGTGGTTCGAGCATGCCTGCAGGTTTCCTCCTTTCAACCTTATCTTGTTGGAAAATGAGGCAAGTCTTCGTATAATCCATCACATCTTGTCGCATGTGAGGTCAATAGTATCCTTGTTTCAATAATGGCAAGGTGCGTTGCCAACCCGGGTGTCTCGCCCATGGTGTGTCATGACATTCCCTCATTAGCATCTGTCTTAGACCTTCTACTCTTGGCACAAACACTCGAGGCCCCTTGGTCCATAGGACCCCATTTTCTTACCAGAAGTACTTGGACTTCCCTTTTTCCACTAGCTTCAGGATGGCACAAGCTTGCAGGTCCTTCCCTAAGTGATCTCCAATCAACTTGTGAATGTCTGTAGTGGCTCTACTAGCCGCCATTGGGGCAATTCTTCTAAGGGCCGCTAGATCTGCTCGATTGCTCAATGCATCGGCCACTTGATTGGTCTTTCCAGCGGTGTGCTCAAAACAAAAGTCGAATTCTGCTAAAAATTCCTGCCACCTAGCTTGTTTTGCCGTAAGCCTTGGTTGGGTGAAAAAATGGCTAACGGTCGTATTGTCTGTCTTCACGACAAAGTGTGAACCCAACAAATAATGTCGCCAAGCCTTCAAACAGTGAACCACTGCCAAGAGTTCTTTTTTTTTGGGCCATATATTTCCTTTCAGCTTCACTTAGCTTTCTGCTTTCAAATACTACCGGGTGATGTTGTTGCAACAGCACTCTTCCAATAGTAAAATCGGATGCATCTGTCTGAACTTCGAAGGGCTTTTCAATATCAGAGAGAGCTAAGATGGGATCTGTGAAAACTGAATGTATATTGAAAAATTGGTTATCTACAATTATACAAGAATCTTAGGTTTATATAGAACTAACTAAGGGTTAAACTAGGAAACTAAATCTTC